ACTCTAACAAACTTATCTCAAAATTCAATACGTCCAAGAACAATGATCCCTACTTCATCCTAAAAAACTTCATCGCACACACACTCACATGAAGCTGCGGCGCGGTGGACGGCCGCACTAGCTCCAACCAACCGGCTCAACTGGGCATCCAGCAATCACATGAAGCAGCGACGACACAGGGTCTCCGGTCCTCCTTGGGGGTGGCCTAGGCCATGGCCATGAGTTTGTCGTAGTTTTAACCACCAACACACATCGCAGGCAGCTACCATCTCACACTGTTTACCTTTTGCAGCCGCAGCGCCCATGGCACCACCTGTTTCTAAAATACTTGTATTATCTGTTTAGTTGGCAAATATAGGCTGAGTGACTTGTCATACACCGGCTTATTAAAGTGTTTTGTAGTTTTTTTAACGCATTATGGAATAATAATTCATACATTTAACTATGTTTAGTTATTATTTTTAAAGTGACGTCCCGTCCGTGCGACGCATGAGCCACTTCTGTAGTGGGCTTGCTGCTGCGCCACGCGGCGCAGGAGATGCCGCCATACTCTATTGCTCTTGAAGGAGTCCGCTGTGTGGTGCCTGAATGAATGGGGTGTTTTTACACGACAAGCTGGACGACCAGCTTCCCCTTGTGAGTTACACAGATGACTGACTTCTGGGTCCCTGGCTCCTTAATCTTGAGTCCTCGAAACTTCTACATAAAAAAACGTAGCGTTGAAACCCAGTGCTCCATTCCCACCGCTCCGTTTGCCGAAGAGTTGATGACGCCAGCTAAGCAAGCAAGTTTTCTCCGGTGCGAGTACAATCTTGTTACGGAGATTTGAAAACTCCGTGTTCCACAGATGCGCTACTTTTTACTTCGCTTTATGGACTTCCTGCTTCTTGATTGATTTGTCTGGTTTAACGTCCCAAAACCACCATTTGATTATGAGAGACGCCGTAGTGGAGGGCTCCGGAAATTTTGACCACCTGGGGTTCTTTAACGTGCACCCAAATCTGAGTACACGGGCCTACAACATTTCCGCCTCCATCGGAAATGCAGCCGCCGCAGCCGGGAATCGAACCCGCGACCTGCGGGCCAGCAGCCGAGTACCTTAGCCACTAGACCACCGTGGCGGGGCGACTTCCTGTTTCTTACAGTAACTGATGACGATGATCAAAACTTCATTTCGCCTCCAAAAGGGAAAGGCCCGGAGGCATCGGACGCCGCGGTGTGCCAAGGGATCCCCGCTGACCTCCTAAGCGGAGCGTTATGGTAACTGAGATAAGAGTCATCTATAGTGAGCTTCGTGATGTTCTTTCCGTGACGTCATGTGCAGCAAGTTTTGTGACGTTATTTGTATAGCGCCTTCTGCAGCGAATTCCATGGCGTTATTTCCCCATCATATGTAAAACGCAACGCCGGCGCAATGAAGGTAGAGAGGCATCCACTGACTGCGCAATGTGGTGGCGCCCTCTCTTGCGCCACCCAGGAGTCAGCTGCATGGTTCCAAAACGTTTTGAGCATTGTTAAGTTGGTTATTTTTCGTACACCTCTTGCTCCTTTTAGTTATGATATATTATATCTTATTCATACATTTCACCTGGCTTCGAACCTTGCTAGCCTTGTTAGGGCCTGTATTGAGTGTTTTACAAAAAGCGTAATCAAGCCACATCTCTATTGCAAGAACAGCATGATGCCAGTACGTTTTTCGGCACTGGTACACGCTGGAGACGCTGGTACACGCTTGTAATCACTGGCCCTTTGCGGGGGGCACTGGGAAAAAACTGTGTCGCACTGGTAGGGGCGCTGGCTCAACCGCTGTGATGGTGCGCACTGCGAAGGGCTGAAAGCGCTAGAATTTTCACTGGCAAGCGCTGGTGAATACTGGAGCACGCGCTGATTCTACCAGCGCAGCTGCAGAGTGCATAATATTGTTGCGTGCGCCGTGGTTTGTTTCCATGTTGTTGAATATAAAACGCTTGATTCGACGTCAGGGAGAGATGCTACCTTAAGAGATACCGAGCATACGTATTTGTTTTAACAAATACCGAGCATACGTCAGCGGTCTTACCCAGTGCCCGGCCCAGCGAGCATTACACCTGTCATGCCATACGTAATTTTTTTAACAGATACCGAGCATACGTAGCGGTCTTACCCAGGGCCCGGCCCAGCTAGCAATAAACCTGTCATGCCAGCCGCGTTGGTATATATGTTACCGGCGCTTCTTGCTTCGTGTACACACAACTTTAAAGTGCGAGAATAACTTTAAAGTATAGTTTAGACATCCATGAACCTAAATCAACTGTTTTGTCTTGTGTCGATGTTCGCCGAAGGAGCGCTGACGATCGATCGTCGCACTTTCAGCTACGCAGGCTGTCACCGAAAGCTGCCGGCCGCACTTAGCCGGTACTTCTCCGACTGATATGTAACAACACGCAACTTTCAGTTGGTAATTTAGTACGCCTTCGTGAACTGATTCCCTGGCATACGTTTTAAGTTCATTGCATTGGTATTTATATGGGTGTTTTTTTAATTGTCGGTATCGATATAACTGCATATATCTGTACACTGGCACGCCCGCTGTTTACTGCCAGCGGAGGCCAGAAAAACGGCTGCCACTCGTCATCGCCACTCCGTAAATGCATATCTGGCATTATTTGGCCTTCCACTTACTTCAGGTACAGTTTACAGTTTAAGTAACAGTTAGAAATATTGCGAAGCTCAAATGCAGAAACTTCAAGCATCGCAACTCAGCTGCTTCTAAAGCAGCCTTACCCAGTGCCCCGTCCCAGCGAGGCCTATCGTGCCGCCCGAGTCTGTGTACCTGATGCCGGCGCTTTCTACTTTAAGTAAATGCAATTCTAAAGTGTAAGAATGACTGTACAGTTCAACTTAGACATCCCTAAGTCTAATTCGACTATTTATCCGCGTGTGCGGTGCCTGCACAAGGAGCGCCAATTATCGATGTGTCGTGCTTTCAGCAACGTAGGCTGTCACCGAAAGCTTCCTTCTGAGCGCAGGAGCCAGTACTTCTCTGGCTCGTACGTAAGAACACGCAATTGTAAGTTGGCGATTGGGTACGCGTTAGTGAACTAACCTACTGGCATACTTTTTCAGTGGATCGCATTAGTCATTTCTTCGGCGGTTTTTTAGTTGCAGGTGTCGATATAGCTGCAAATCTGTACACTGACACACCCGCTGTATACTGCTACATCGTCGCTTGCGCGAAAGAAAATTACCTAATATTCACTCGTGTGCGTGCATATCTACCAAACAAGACACGTAAATCATCTGCACTTGTTGACCAGTAGCTAGAAATGACTATCAAAGGAAAAAAAGACTATCGGCAGCAGCTGGTGACAATCTGTGACTGCTCTTCCAGTCAATTGGAGATTTTTCAGAAATAAGATGTAGATGCTTCAAAAAACTTTGTGCTCTTGCTAATATCTGCACGTAATTCGGTGGCCGGAAGCCGTTCGTCACTGTCGAATCAAGACGCAATTGTTATTTGGAAAGAAATATCGTGTCAGTCTTGACTGTGCGACTTGTAAACATGAAGTTGAACGGCGCGTTCTTCGGATAAATATTCCTTTTACAACCCGACAAGTACGTTCTGGCATGGCGTAGTGAGTTGCGTACTCAGATAGAGATCCTGAGGCAGCGAGTTCAAATCCCGTCAAGCGGCGTTTTAATTATGTTTTCATTTTTTAAATTTTTATTATGAATGCGCGTTGTTTTACTTATATATTTATTTATTTATTTATGGCGTATGGGCACCCCCGTTTTATCCCTGGGAAGCCATTTTGCGCAGAGTACTGGGACGCTGCCGCTCGAGCGTCCCAGTACCTGTGCTAGTAGGCGCTGGTACCAGCGCCATACTGGGCCCATAATCAGGCATGGTACTGGACGCTGGTACCCAGTGGCGCTGGGTTTTGCAATAGGGATGGCAGACACGGGGTAAAAAAAAACACGCCAGGGCTGCGCTTCAACGCTCAGCACTGTCACAGCGAAAGCTCGAACAGTGGCGTTTTAGAACCTTTTCTTCACACTCTGAGTAGCTGCCACAAGCACACTTGCTGGGTACCCACTACGCCATAAATAATAATTTTGGAGTAGCAGGCTTGCATTCACTGTGCTATCCTTCATTATTCTTCAATATTGTGCAATATTTTTATGCAGTGGCTGACGACGATGACGATTTATGCCTGAAGTGGGTATGCACCGCAGTTAATAGGTGAAAAAAACCTTTTGTAATGAGCTAGATGATTCGACGACCCACTCTTTACCCTATTCGCATTGTGTGGTGCTTGGTTGTTCCTTTATTGCTTTAAAACGCTTTATTATTCGTATTAGCGCGATTCCTATCCCATCGGCAAGCCGGCATTAGGCTAGTTTAGAAGCGGCAGAATGGCTCAGTGGTAGAATACTGGACAGGCATGCAGTGGACCCGGGTTGGGATTCTATTATGTTCTTAGGGTGTTATATCCACTAAGTTTTTCCCCTATTGTTTGAGTTATTAGCTACGGAGACCGGCGGTGGTGGCGGGGCACATTTACGCCGTCACACGTGTCCTGCGTTGTTATCTCATAACAGCTTTTGCTGTGTGTTCGTATGTGCTGGCGCTCAGGAAGGGGGAGCATAAGGAGAGGGCACGATGCTTGAATAACAATGCGCCCATCCTGTCGTTGTGTAAGCTTGTGAACTACATTCCTTATTCATGTAACTTGCTAAACGTTTTAGGTGAGGTTGAAAAAAAGAGAGTGGCGGATGTCGTGATACGTTTCTCTGAATATGTTCTGCAGCTGGTGGTGACGGTTGGCGTCAAAGTCAGCTGCGACTCACACGCAGCTGCCGGGCTAATAAGTCAGGGCTCGTGAGGTGGCGGGAAATGATTCTGAGGAACTCGCGTGCAGATTGGTTTGCTATCCGGTACGCTCACATTATTTTCTTTGTGTACTCGTGCGATGGCCTGTTTCTCGTACCGTAGCTTGAGGAGAATGTCTACAAGGTTTCCCATGATAGCACCGAAGGTTGCAGTAATCAGCGATGATATGATGGCCAGCGTGGCCGGCTTGGGTGAGTCAGGGATTGTCTCTTTTCCACCACATAAGGCTGGTTCGTATGGAATGATAAAGTAATGGTACCGGTAAGAAAGACCTAAGAATTTTTTCGGCGTAAGACAATGAAAAATGGCGGGTTATGCTGTGGATGGCATTATAACTTTGCGAGTGCTATCGGAAGATGCAATAAAGCAACAATATTTCCACACAGTAAAACAACTGAATGCAATAGCATTACGTTGGAACGTTACTCAAAGAAAGGCTGCTAGTTTCTATAAGTAAACTTATAGTGTACATATGCGGCAAATGAGCTGATGAAGTAAGCAACTGCCCGGTGTTTTAATCAGACCAACTTTAAGAGTGAGGCACGTCTAAGAGAATCGTAGTGCACAGTGGTGGGAGATGTGGCACGCGGTTCTGGGGCGCATAGGCTTTTAGGTATTAAAGCGTAAGATGTCTTGCACATTGCCAACAGTTCACACTCAATGTCACCGAATGGTACTGGGATGTGCACAATAACTTACAGCAAAACAGCACGCACTTTAGTGGTATCGATACCCAGTCGAAACATTGCTGGCGTGTTTACGGGAAGTTACAAAACAAGAACCAAGCATGACTGCAACATATTCACCCCTATGACACTGTGGCTACACTTACAAGGAAGCGCTGACATTCACCTGAACTTGCATTGGTAAATAAGACACTGCAACGCTGAAGCAGCCTACTGATTCTCGTGCCGCCAACTACAACTGAAGCCTCTATATGGCTTAATATTTCTATTCTGCAGGACGTATAATTTTCTGGCCGAGGAGATTGCGCCATCGCACATTCCGAAAAGGCATTGTTTAAACACTGTTAGCCTGGTAGCTCACATACTTGCGACGTGGTGTTTTACTGCCATTTATTAGGCGTGAAAAACTTGACCAAACCAGTTCCATAGATGTCGCCGCAAGTGATAAACATGAAAAACACTATCTGAGGATGGTTATGTACAGGTGATGAAGTATCCTAAAAATGACCACAACACACACACACACACACACACACACACACACACTAACACACACACACACACACAAACACACACACACAACACACACACACACACACACACACACATATATATATATATATATATATATATATATACATATACATATGTATGTATATATATGTATTGTAGTGACAAATACGGGCTCTGCTGAAGAAACGATGAAGAAGACGTGTTTGAGGCGGACGCACGTGCTGCTGCAGCTGCTGCTGAAACCGCGGCCGCTGGCTGCTGTATCGCTGCTGTTAGGCCCATTAAACGGCTACTTCACCCCGGCGTAGCGTCTAACATTATTCTTACATATGACGGAGAGTGCTGGTTGTCTCAAGCTGGAACTCCGTTCCCGGACTCTACCTCCACCCCCCCCTCCCGCCTCGGCAAAGCCGGACCACATGACTCAGCCACCTGCAGTCATAATCCCATCTGTCACCTGTTCCGGAATGCCACGACAGCGAGATCCAGTGATTTTCAACGCGATTGACGACCAAGACGCCGACGACTGGCTGTCCCAGTACGAAGCGGTAAGCACCCACATTAACTGGGATGACATAGACAAGCTCGCTTACCTTAATTTCTATCTAGCGGGTGTGGCAAAACTGTGGTTTAACAACCACAAAGCGGAAATGCCCTCTTGGTCAACGTTTAAGATGCGTTTTGCACAATTCTTTGGCCGACTCACTGTTCGCAAGCTGCGCGCCAAACAGTGCCTGCGCTGCCACGCACAGCGCTTTGGCGAGACTTTTACCTCGTATATTGAGCATCTTTTGGACCTCTGCCGTCGTATCGATTCCGACATCTCTGACACTGACAAAACATGGCACATAATAAAAGGTATCGAGGACGACGCCTTTCACAAGCTCGTTGCAAAAAACCCGCAAAACGTCGCCCAGCTTATTCAGCAGTGTCAAGTTTCGACGAGCTGCGGAGAGAGCGCATTTCTACTCGACGTCCAAACCTCGACACGACCTCTACATCTGCGTTAACCATTGGCGCTGTTTCCTCCGAACAAACCACGTTAATGCAGCAAATCCAGCAGTTCGTCCGAGAAGAAGTGTCACGCCAATTGTCTCGTGTGCCGTACGTCCCGACCAGTGCGCGCACGCTGACCTCAACGCTCCTCAAGTCAATTGAAGAGCAAGTTTCTGACATCCTGTCTCCCACATACCATTCTTCGCCTATCTCCTCCCCTCTCACGCTGAGGCCGCCATGCGATCACCGCCGTTGCTACCAACTGTCACGGATATTGTTTGACAGCCCCGACCCTTCTACGCAGCAACTCCACCGTCCCCAGCCTCGTCCTGTTCGCCATTCCTCGGCACCATCAACTAACCCTTGGCGCACTCCGGACAACAGGCCAATTTGCTATTTCCGCCATCTTCCCGGTCATGTAGCACGCTACTGCCGTAGTCGGGATTACAACCCAACTGCTGGTGAGGCGACTTATGACTCTCATCGTCCAGAGCCGCCACAGTCGTCTTCGTCCCCCCCCCCCTCCCCACGTCGGATGAGTCGACGCCACGTCGCCGAGGCTTCGACAGGGATCGGTCGCCCTCACCACGGCGCCGCTATATTTCTCCGCTGCTTCCTCGATCTCCACCCGCCCAAACGGAAAACTGACCAGCGCAGTTCCAAAGGCAAGAGCTGCTCACATACCCAAACCTGCAAGGCCTATGTTTTCACCTACTAATAAAAGAACTGTGCATATTGATGGTGTACCTGCGAAAGCGATCGTTGATACTGGTGCGGCCGTGTCTGTGCTAAGTAGTGAACTGTGTCGCAAGTTGAAGAAGCTTACATTGCCGTTTTCCGATGTCTCTCTTCGCACGGCCACTGCGCATCTCATCCAACCTTCTGCGGCGTGCACAGCTCGACTGGTCATCCAATATATTTTTATGTAGTCAAATTCGTAGTGTTTTCATCATGTTCACACTATAAATTCTTAGGCTTGGTCTTCCTCTGCGCTCATCATGCCGTCGTTCACTGTGCGCGCCGAACTAAAATTGTCGACGATGTGTGAACTGCCCCTGTGTGAAGCGCCGATGTCTGAAAGACCTTCTTTCAGGCCACTATCTTCCCGAGTCACTGTGGCCACGGACACTCACAGCCCTCCTCTATCCTGTCTGCTTGTGCCAATCTTCTGCGACGACGCACCCTATGTAACCGCCCTCTTTGTCCCCTCCAACGCTTTCAGTTCTCGCAAAAGCTTCCTTCTCTCGTTCGCAGTTGTCACCGTATTATCACCGTAGAAAACTCACGTGGCTTCATTTATATACCAAACTCGCTTCCTTCCCCAGCCATATTATTCCGTGGCGAAGTCGTCGGTCACTTTGAGGAAATTGATTCTGTTTCATCCAGTCACCCACCTGATGACTTGCCACCATCTCACTTAAGCACCATTTCCTCTGATACCCCTCCCACTTCATCTCTGGAGGTTATTTATCCATCGATTTACCCTAAACTTCCCGCTGCTCAGCGCACCCAACTTCTGGCTCTTCTCAGTCGCTTCAAGTTGTCTTTTAACCTTAGCCAATTTTCTTTGAGTCGCACGTCTGCCATCGTTCACAAAATTGACACGACACTGGTAGCCATGCATCTTTGAGCCAGCGCCCATGTCGAGTTTTTCACGCTGAACGCCGTGCCATTGATGATCAGGTGAATGATATGCTTCAACGTGGCGTAATACAACTTTCAAACAGCCCTTGGGCCTCTCCGGTTGTACTGGTGAAAAAAAACGATGACAGCATCAGATTTTGCGCTGATAACAGGCGTCTGATAAGATCACGAAAAAATATGTTTATCCGCTGCCCAGTATCGACGACGCCCCCGATTTCCAGCAAGGAGCAGAGTTCTTTTCTTCTTTAGACCTTCAATCCGGCTACTGGCAGGTCCCTATGATTGGAGCCGACCACTCTAAGGATGCGTTTGCAACGCCTGACGGATTGTATGAGTTTAACGTCACGCCTTTAGGCTTCTCTAATGCGCCTGCCACCTTCGAGCGTCTCATGGACCACATACTTGGAGGCTTCAAATGAAACACATGCCTGTGCTATATGGATGACGTCATGATTTCCTCGAAGGACTTCGACTCCCACCTCAGCCATCTCGCAAGCGTCCTGACTTGTCTTTCGGATGCTGGACAGCAGCTGAAGTTGAAGAAATGTTACTTCACTGCCCGCCAGCTTACCACCTTACAGCATGTTGTTAGCAAGCATGGTGTCCATCCTGATCCAGCCAAGCTTCACGCTGTCGCCAACTTTCTCAGGCTGGCTACACTAAAAGAACTTCGCAGCTTCATCGGCATCTGCTCATATTTTCGCCGTTTTGTGTGCAATTTCGCCACCCTAATCGCACCCCTCACGAAGCTACTTGCCGACAACCAAGACATCTCGGCGTGGTCCCCAGCATGCGACGAAACATTCGCCTCTTTACGTCATCTTCTGACATCACCGTCTATCCTATCCTATTTGATCCAGATGCTCCAACCGAAATCCATATGGACGCTAGTGAAGTAGGCCTAGGCGCTATTCTTGCTCAGCGTAAATCTGGATTAATGAGTATGTTGTATCCTACGCTAGTCGCACCCTCACTAAAGCGGAAAAGAACTATTCGGTCACCGAAAAAGAATTCCTTGCCATTGTTTGGGCAATAACCAAATTCCGGCCTTACATATATGGCCACCCATTTAACGTCGTGACTGATCACCACGCGTTGTGTTCGTTGTCGTCATTAAAAGATCCATCTGGTCGCCTAGCTCGCTGGGCACTATACTCCGTTTCATACATCAGGTGCAACGCTGTGAAGGCTAGGCAAGTAGTCTGTGAAGAAAACACGAGGTGTTGCTCCGCGCGGTTTCGTAGCCGAGTGGTCTGACGCGTCGCTCCGGAGAGTTCACCGTAGTTTTGAAGTGCATGGGTTTGAATCCACGTATTCCACAATTCACAAATTCGCGCACGAGAGGTGGTCGA